TTTCCCTATAAGTTAGATGCATTGCAGGTTTAACACAAGTTAGGTGTACTTAGCCTGGCCTTGCAGCCTGTTGAACACAGCACTGTTTAAAGCTATACAAAGACAAGACAACTCACACTCCATCATCAAGTCTGCAGACACTCCAACAGGTTCATACAGAGCAGTGTCAAAGCCAGGGTCTAAACAAGTGTAACAAACACAAAGCTAGTACAGATACTAAATGTGTTTACATGAAAAGAGTATGACCGCCTGCAACCGGTCCTCATGCACAATTTATCGTGTGTCTGTTTGCAGACATATTTTTTGCGATGCCGAACACAATACGGCAGCGGCGGCGGGGTCATGCGGGGGAGAGAGACGGGCTACAAGCTTCCTATGCATCGTTTCATTGCTGCTGATAATATATAAATGCATGCAGACATGGATGCTGCTCGTAAATGAATAAAACCATACATCAATTTCAAAATCCAACACATTTGAAATTGAAATGCAGCTGCGCCTTTTTTTGTTCTTCCTCTTTTTACGATATGTCTCATTTCGTCATTTCACGTGCTGAGATATAAAAGTAGGGGGGGGGGGGGAATTAGAGGGGTGGAAGAGAACAAATGCTGGATGGAATTTGAGATTATGTATTTGGTTTGTGTGTTTCCCTCCTGTTTAAATCAAACGCTTGTTGCTGGTGACAGTGTTTCTAGACTTCTCTCCTCCCCCTTTTTTTTTTCAACGACGGTCCTGAATTGAGAAGCGGGGTGGAACGGGGTGTGGGCCTCTGGCGGAGGGTGAATTAAATAGTCACTCTCTCTCCTTCTCTCTCTCGTTGCACTTTCTCTTTTTTTCAGTGGCGTTTAAAATCAATTCATTCAGTGGACTGCTGACACAGCCCGGCCCAGAGAGCCCAGGATTTATGGCTCCCTCTAATGGGCATGCTCTGAACCAAAGCCCTGCCGTCAGCACAATCCTGCCAGCCACCCGTCCGCCCCACTCCCTCACTCCATCTCGCTTTTAAAGACGCAGGCACCCCTCCTCTTCCTCCCTCTGCTCCTCCTCCCCTTTCCCCTCATCACCCCCCCGAGCTGGTACGGAGGGGTTTAAAAGCCTTAAATAATGTAGATATCACAATTTACCACAACACAACAAAAAGGGGACTAAATACAACCTTTAATCATTAAACGTTGTGGTGTTAAACGCTTTCTTGTAACGCTGTGACTGATATCTGGGGAATTTCCCTGGCCTTGTCCACAGGAAGCTTTTCAAAGAAGTGGTGCTTCAAAGAGCAGTGACTATTATATCTCCATCTGTTCTGATATCTATTAATACCCGCACTATTTACCATAACAGTATAGGGTTTATTTTAAGGATGAACAGACACTATATAATGCTGTCAATTTCACTTTGAAACTCGCATTAACTCGTGTTAAATATTATCTAGATATTCTTACAGTGGTGCTTAACTGAGCAATGTATAATATCTCTTTGTAATCATTCACAACAGCAGATTTTTTCCAGGAAGAATTGGAACTGTTTGTCAAGTTGAAACTCAAATTGAAAGTATTTTTCCGCGCTGTGGGCAGACATTCTGTGCTAAATGTTTTCTTATGATTGTTAAAATCCGGGGCTAACAAGTGGTGCTTCCAAGAGCAGTATATAATATCTCTATCCATTACCTTGTCTGACTAGTGGAGCTTCCTAAGGTTTTCGTAGTGTATATATATTCATATATTCATAACCAAGTCTAGTGTCACAGGATCTGAAACAATTTATGGCGCGAGAAAAAACGTGATTGAAAACACTCGCCAGTATAAAGATATATAAAAAGGATCATGGCCTGAATTGCGATGACAACATGAAGTCACTGCTGCGCGACACTTTGAGGGAGTCAGCGAGTCTCTCTGTGTGACTGAGTGTGTTCCTGGATTGTATTTATGTCTGTTTACACTCCGCCGCTGTTGACCCTCTTGTACCCTCAGGCAACCCGGCAATTTGCAGACAAATACAGACCTTTGCTTCAGCCCCGGAGCCTCTAACGCACATCCTTATCCATATTCCTGCTCCGCTCCGCAGCTTGTCAAGGCGTTATGGGCCCCGAATTAGCCTCCCATTACAGCAAGGCTCCAGCTCCCCCCTAAAGTTAACTATAACTGACCATTTGGCGTGGCTTCATTATAAAGCCATGCATGTAAAATCAAGTCATGTTCCCTGGCCGTCACATCCAATTTCAAAATACAACCCCCTCAACCCCCACAGTATCTCCATATTTCTCTCTTACTTAAGTTCAACCTTCTCCTTGTTTCATAAAATATGATCTGATTAAAATAGATTACACACCTTGTTAGCAGAGCGTTTCATATATCGTGGCCTTGTTCTCTGGCCTATTTGTTTAATAAGCTCTGCTACATCAGTGTTCCTTTTAAGTGAACATATACCCCTGCAGCAAAGGCTAAGATCAATACCTATACCTGTATTAAGAAAAAAGGAATTACTGCCAAGGATTTTTCTCCTTCTAAGGAAAAAAAGGCGAGATAATCAGCAACAATAGTAGGAGGAGATCCTAAACAGGAAGCAGCGTTTATGTGGTGACCTGTGGGGAGAACTACAGGTCAGCTGTGTAAAATTCAGCGCGGATTAGAAACTCGGACTAAAGCTTTCCCAATGTCTCCAACTCTAGGTTATGCACATAGGATATTATAAACAGAGAAGAAAGGCAGTCTTTGAGGGTAAATGAATTCATTATACTCATCACCTCATCAGCTGACTGATAGAAGACTTCTCATGTAATCGCTGATGAGGCGGAGGGGACCTTCTACTGTACCTCTCAGATGTGGGAATAATACCGTTGTATCGCCTTAAAATGAAAATAATACTCCCTCATTTGCCGTACAAGTAAGAGGGTAAAATGTAATACTGTGCTTGTGAAATGCAATTATCATTTAGCGAGTCCGTGAGCTGTGTTTGACAGGGCCTGAACTGCGGGAAAAACTCATTTTCATTTTTCTTATTATATCATGATTATATAAACATTCTTAACCAGTGGCCACAGCAGCAGCAAATTATTGCAAATTATCCCCATATTGCCACTTTTTAGTGAACAAGCACTAGAACTCCAGTGTGTATTCCATAAATCAGCCGAATGCTGCACCTGTTGAGAATGTAAATAGCTGAGGCTATTTGATTAAACTCTTGCATCAACACATTTGAAGAGCCATTTCTCTTTTTGGGTTGTTTATTATTCGGTTTTCTTCCCAGCATTAAGTTCTCTCCTCCTACACCCGCTGCAAGTGTAGTTTCAATGGGTGGTGACGGGGGAAACATAACACCCACCAGCTATACGTGGGGGCACGGGAGGTCCATCATTACCAAGCCACAGTGGTGATCACGGCAATAATATAGAACTATAACTGAGCAATTAGACTAATGGAAAACGTCCCTATTTCTCCCGGTGTGCGGCAGCTAGATGCGGCGCTTGCCCCGTGGGCCCCCTCCCCCCGGAGATGGGGCTGGAGATGTGAAGTGGAGAGGAGGTAATGGCGGGGGCCCATTGATCCTCACTGCCACCTGCTATATGGCTCCACGGAGGATGGGCGGGGAAGCAGAGGACTCCATCTGGGGAGAGATCAGGCCAGCTCCTGGGCTCTCAGGCATATGGATAAGAGTCTTTCTCTAGTCTTCCGCTACTTAACCAGCACACATTAGCAGAATATGGCCGAATAGGGGGAGAGTAAGGCGTGCATACATACAGGCTTTATTACAGTGAGGGTGCATCTGCAGCGAGAGGGCGTAAAGCCGTTTCCTAAGACTCGTGAGCGCTTGGCTTCTCGTGCAGAGCCAGGTGAGAACAGGAGTACTCAAACAGCCAAACTGTCTCACTTCCAAATGTGTGGGAGTGGACATGGAATTGAAAACATCTAGAAAATGACAAAATAGAGTGAATGATGACCTTTGGCTGTCAAGAGCAAAGGCTGAAGAAGCAGGGCGTTGGATTGGTGGATGGAAGAGTCCTCAAAGGAGTGAACATATGCTTGAAGAAGAATGTTTAAAGTGTGCAACACACAATATAACTGCTGGTTTGTACCTGACATTACCAACAAAAGTGATGTCATGGTGTACTGACACACCCTGAAGTACACCTCGACATCACTCCAGTGTAGCGAGACGTCACTGGAGATTAGCACAAGTAAACTCTTTAATTTACTAGAAATCAAACATGGGTTTCTTTTGTTATCAAAACATTATAAAACAAACTATGAATTTCCTCTTAATAAGTGTAATGTTTGACTAACCCTAACCAAGCCTTACTACTACTACTACTAGGCTACTGCTGCTACTACTACTACTACTACTACTACTACTACTACTACTAATAATACTACTAGGCTACTACTACTACTACTAGGCTACTAGGCTACTAGGCTACTACTACTACTACTACTACCACTAATACTACTACTACTGTTTATAATCAGAATAAAGCAATATGAGTTGTGTTGTTTTGAAAGGAACAGCCACTCTTATCATATAAGGGCATTAGATTAGGTCCGTTTTACGATTTCAGTCATTTTCAAACCCTAACTCCTGAACCTAGCGCTAACCCTAACTAAAAACAACGTTTCCAATGGCCTTGATGTCCAAAACAATGACCATTTACCAAACTAGGTTTTAAAGTGAAATGATGTAGAAAGCAGGCCATGGATATCTAGATATGGCTTTTGATATGGATTTTATGGCTAGATATAGTTGTCGAAGAAGTTTTAAGAAGCAGGAATTCCCAAAAATATAACTTTGATTGGATTGTTCTCCGGATATTTCTCAGATCCTGATAGAAAATGCAACATGTCAAGCTTGGTTTCAGTGAAGTTTGGACCAATACAACCGGGGTAGCTGTTCTACCAGTCCAAACAAAACTAAACTAAAAGTAGGAATGGGAGAAACTTCAAACACAGACAGGACCTACAGAGCACAACACACGGACATGAGGGTTTAAAGGGGGTTTCTGAGAGACTGACCTGCCCAGCTGGGGGTCTCCATGTACAGGTAAAGCCGGTCGGGCTGAAGCTGGGTCACTCTACTCGCTGCTGCTGCCACAGGTGCTGACGAACCCTGCAGGAAGACAAAGAAATACATTGTGTCTTAAAACACAGACAAGTGTAGAAAGAGGTGAAGTGCGAGGATAATAAGAACCCACTGACAGAGTGAGGAACAGCTTCTTACCTAGAGCTGTGATGCCCAATGCACCTTCCCTGTTCAACCACAGAACACTTTACAATGATGGTGAGCACACACACTCACAGAGACCAAGTCATGTGACACTCACAAAAACACACATCCCAGACCCTCAATAAATTAATATAAAGATACATTTATCTGCTTTTTTTAGCATCTATTTATTAACACCCAACCACAATCTGTAACTGTTGTACCTGTACCTGTAAATAACCTTCAATTTGTTTTATTCTCTCTGCTGATTTTACTGCTTAATGTATTTCTGTCTATTTTAAACAACACAGAGAGAAGAAAAAATAAATTGTACATGATGACAATAAAAACATCTGATTCTAGTTTGTTTGTTTGTTAATTCATTTCAATAAAAACAAATATGCCCCTAAAATAAACAAGACGCCATGTTGTAGTACATCTTGCTGATAATACTGGGAATGCCAGATTCGGCCTGTATTAATTATTCCGACTTGTATTCAACATTTATAAACCTTTATTTGCTTTCCTTCGTAGAATTATAGAACAAGAACAGGTGTCATATTTAATGTGTAGGGCTGAAATCAAGATATTGTTATCCTAGCTTAGCATAAAGGCTATTAACAAGTGTAAACAGTAAGTCTGGCTCCGTGTTTTGGTCTCTGTTTAGGCACTAAGGTATCAAACCTGGCAACCACCCTATATCTGGTGTTTGCTAAGTACATGTATAGCGAAATATTCTTTAAAGCTGTTTTCAAAACACTTGTACTCCTGTTAAATATGTGTAAAAATGTATCTCCAACTATAGTAATGTGAAAGGTAATAATGTTTTTTTTTTTTCTAATTACGTTACGCACCAGGTTTTATTATACACATTTAGACAGGTGTTATTGCATTTAAGTAATAACATTATCTGCCGGTGATGTTATTATTTTGGTCAGAGTGACTAATTGTGTGGCTAATTGTGTCTGAATGTGCATTTGCATCAACGTCTGCAAACATTTAATCTTGTGAGCGAGCATTACGGCCCACATATACGTCTGCCGGGCGGCACATACAGCAGCATGCCTCTGCCTCAGTGTGCGGCGGCTGCTTTTTCTGCTGACTTGTGTATCCTCGCAGGCCTCGGGTTGGCTGTTGCCCAGAAGCCCAGCCGGTGAACCGCAGAGAAAGCGCATTGATTTCATCCCAGCAGAAATCCCTTCTCCCGGTGCACGCCTTCCTACCCCGCCCCGCACCTGATTAAGCATTTGCAGGGAGCCATGCCAACACAATTTGTCATTTATCAAAAGTAATTAAAAGCAATTTATTTTCTCTTGTTGATTGGGAATTGACTAATTGTTGAGGCTGTGAAAACGAGGGAATAAATAAAACAGGGAAGGATGAATTTTACATAAACTCAGAGGAAAACATTAATGCTGTAAAATGAGCACCAGACATCTGGGTCTGTGGTTTCTCTCTACATGATTATGACTGAGAAACCGAAACAGTTGTTTAGTGCATTCTGATATACTACCCATAGGCAGTAAATAATATATTAGAAACAGTGTATTGACTAGCCGACTTAAAAGGCTGTTTTCACTTCATGTTGTGTGAACACAAGAGTGGGAGGAAAATACAAACACTGGTTGGTTACTTGTTAACACAAAATGAAAAGCGCTGCTCCCACTTGTGCCAAAGGAGATATTTGAGCCAGTAAACACCACGTTTTCAGCATGAGAGGAAAAACAATAAGAAGGAAGGGAAAGAAAGAGGCAGAGGATCTAGAGCCATCCTCCTGCAGAGGTTACAGTACGTCTCTCCAATGAAACCAAGCATTGCCGTTTCAACATTATCGGTAACAACCTCTGAATGCACCATTACCTTCTATAAGGGCAGAATGAAATGTCAGAATTGATTCGAGAGGGGAGGGTTGAGATATAAGTGGGCAGCTAAGGTGGCCATTTTGTTTCAGTGGCCCTTTATTTGGTGTCCCTGGATCATTAGCAGACAGCAAAAAGGGAGCTGGAAGAACATGAAGGAGGAGTGGGCGGCCGTCACGCGTGTCTCTAGTGACAGCGAGTGAAATGGAAACAGAAAAAGACACCACACACACGCGCACAAAAAGCCAGAAATCAAAGAAAGAACAAAAAAAAAAAAGGAGGCACAGGGAAACGCCAGAGGAGTCGTTTAAATGTCCCACCACTTTGTAAATAACTTTAGCTGCACAAATACCTGGCTATGCTCTCAGCGGATGAAAACATACTTGAGCCAACAATTTATTCTCTGCCAACAAATGGAGCCGTTGCTTCAATGAGACAATTTGAATATCCCTTTGAAGGCTGCAGATGGACAAGCAATACTATCATTGCCTGGGAACACAGAAATAATTGGCCAACAGTGGGAGAATCCTCCATTCTCTGCTGAGGCACAGCCCAGCTTTGGAATATCTAATTGAACCGCTCACTCTCCTGCCTTTTGTTTACATTCCCATTCATCATAAAAAACTCAATTACTTATGTTCCCTAACATGTATGGTTATTAATGCTCTAATTATGCTCCTCCCCGCTAATCTTTCGCCTTGCAATTTGGGTGATATATGTCGGAACAACAACCCCTGCAAGTGAACGTTGAATTAGGAATCCATGTGCAATAACACACCTTCTCCTGGGAGCCATCTGACGAAGAGAGAAAGCTTGTCATGGTTTGTCTATACATGGGGATTTATTCCAGCTCAGTGAGCATGTGTTATTATATACTGTCTTTGTTCGACATGCATTTCCAAGCAGAAAGTTGACTAATCAACGATCGCTTTCGAAAGAACAGATGTAGCCGGGGAAAGCTGACAAGAACAACGGAGGAAAAATGGCCAAGAAACAAGGCAAAGTACCTCTGGCCAGCTCTTCATATTCTTCTTGTGAAAGGCTGTAGGTATGACAGCTTTAGAGGTATGAAATAATGTCGGTGTGATCCTTGAGGAGCCCCTGCAGAGAGGCTGAGAGGGTCCTGTACTGCCTCGAGCAATGAGTGTTCTTCAAGGCTTTTCCTCAGAGCACTTTTACAAGAGCACAAATTAGGTGTAAGGAATGCCTGTGTCGGCGGGCGCACCCTGCCAGCACACAGAGAAAAAGAGAGGTACAAAAAAAAGAAGGGGCAGAAACTTGGATGACAGTGAAGAAACGGAGGGCGTCGTAAAGTGCGGAAAATAAGCTCTCACTTTCAAACGTTTACGGCGGCTCAAATATCTGATGATACCTCTCATAGCTTTTAATCTTTAATGTGAAAAATTAATCATCCCATTCATTATTTTAATAGCTGTCATTTTTCTCTCCCCAAAGTGATGATTTATAACCATTAAGCCCTGCGTAGGCTTGTGTGAGAGGGATTTATCGTAATGTTTGCACCAGGTAGCCTCCAACCATATTTCATTACTCTGACAAGCCATTAAAATGCCCTGATGATTAAACAACAGCTCTGAGGTCAGTGTGTATGGCTGTTTCTTTACCCAAGCCGGAGTGAGCGGCGCAGCCATGCAGGCGGGGACCCGTAGCCGAACAAAGCCCTTTCCCCCCCGGTTCCCTCCAGACCGGAGACGGTAGTTATAGATCTGTATCTGTTGTGCTGTGCGAGAGCGACGGGGGCGGATGAGAATAATGTACATGCACAGAAGCTACAATGAAATGAAGTTAAGAATGGGGCTATTATGCCTTTCTATCCTCAGAGGTTTGACACCATGATAGCTGTGCTCTTAAAGGAAAAACTCAGATTCCATTCAGAGGATCCATCTGCCCCGCTCACTGTGCTCCACGAGTGATTTTGTGACCATGTATCCCTCTGGTCTGCACACTTGTCTTCTATACTTCTCTTTCAGTTATTGATTTCCTGCTGATTCTAACAGGCAGGGGCGTGTCGAGCACATCTCGGGGTCGAGGGGCATAACTGTCACAGGTAGAACCCGAAAGTCCCACCGTTACTTCTTTGCAGTTAAATAATGAGGAGAAACCTGTTGCTGTAAGCTGCTCCTACACATTCCAATAACATTATCAGTTGGATCGTTGTAGGGTCTTAAAGTGTTTTAAATGGTGGCCAAACCACATTTTTTTTAAAGCTGAAATGCTCTGTAATGACAGGTGTGAATGTTTATTCTCATTATTCAATGTAAATAAATTGCTAGATAGACAGGGTTTATCTACATGTAGTCCCCTTTATTACTGCAGGGACACAACACAAATATCTCAACACTGCCCACTAATTGTTACATTTGTTCCTGCAGTCTGTTATATAGGTTTTTGTGCATGTAAATGGTCTGCAAAGACTCCAATTCTAAAGTGTATCTCCCACACTCCCACCCCTCGGCCTGAAACGCCTCCATTGGACTCCTTTGTTTACTTTTTCGAACAAAGTGACATTATGGCTAGTGCTCCAACACATTGTACGTGATGGAGGCTAAGGGGCAGGACATTTTAGACACATCTCTAAGCGGGTAACCAATCACAAAAGAGCCATCCAGCTAACCAATCAGACTCGGCTGGAATGGGATGTGCTTCATCAAAAATAAAGCACTTTTTGAAAATTAAAGCGTATATAATGCCACAGTAGATTTGAACGTGGAAATTAGCATAATAAGTTATCTTAAGGCTTTGAATATGCAGTGCATTCATTCTAAAAGTGAGTAATTTCCCTAATCATAGGTGCCAGCCAAAAATGCTTTAACTCAAAAGAAGGCGCTTCCAGTAAAAAAGCTAATTAGAAGAAAGAAACATTTTGTAACATCAAATAGCTGTCTCTTTGTGGATTGAAATAGATAGTGACATTCCAATGTCAAAGTTTGATTGACATACACATTTTTACAATTGCTGTGGATAAATAAAAGTTGAAGTACAAACTATGCTACAAGTGTGATATTACATTAGGACATAGCTACTTTG